TTCCCATTGTCGGGAGTCTATGAACCTAAATGGATGGGGGGTGGTGGAGGGGTTGAAGACAGGGTTAATCTCCGGCATTCGAACAGTAATTCCAACAGTGACACAGGATTACCTCATTGTGAAATGGAGAAGGCAACTATCAGACTTCCTCATGATCATTGGAAACATTGGTCTATCTAATAACATGCAACCCATTTTGTTTCACTTCCTGGATTTACAGGAACGAGCTGCCACTCACAACTGCAGTTCTCTCATCCACCCCCATGCTTGTGATAGTATCGACATAGCAGAGATTGTTCAACTTTGCATATTTGACTAAACCTCCTTTAAAAGCCTTCAAGCACTTTTCTCATAAGCACCTAGGAATATTTATCAACAGATTGGGCAGAAAATTCAAACCAATCAGAAGATTTTCTCAATCCTAATTTCTGCTACAAGTCCACTGAATATTCTTACAGCTACATTCCATTTTTCAGAAGTCAAACAACACCAGGTTATAGTCCAACAGGTTTATTTGAAATCATAAACTTTTGGAGCACTGTTCCTTCGTCAGGCAAAGTCACGTCACCTGACAAAGGAGCAGTGCTCCGAAAGCTTGTGATTTCAAATAAACCTGTTGGTCTATAACCTGGTGTTGTGTGACTTCTGACTTTGCCCACCCCAGTCGAACACCGGCACTTCCACATCATGACATTCCATTTGACACAAAGGTTATTAATGAATCTTGTGATGTGAGGTTTGATGTCACTGAGTTTCACTTCCTCATGGCCTTTCACATTGATTTCTAGTAATGTCTTGTCAGCACTTGGAATGTTATAATTCTATTTTGTTGTGCCTGTTTTATTTACCTTCTCAATCACTGGTCCAAACATTTCTTTCTTCCCTTCATCTTATTATTGTAATTCACTGTGCCTTATTGCAAATCCTGATAAATATTTAAGTCATTTAATTTTCCTTTCTTTTAATTTTATATAGAATATCAACTAACAGGAGGTCTATAAGCCTACACTGGCTACTATACTAGATAGAGGATCCATTTCTACTGTGCAACCTAATGACTTTGCCAAGACAGAGGAACACTGAAATCAGATCCTTCTATAAATTTTACAGCATTTATGCCAAGCATTATTAATGGCTTCATTCTCAGCAAAGACAGGCCCCTTTTAATCTTTACTGTGTCATTAATAATTGCTTGTAATTTCTTTTATGATCTGAAGAAAATTTGCAATCATTTTGCTTCTCCTTGGTTTCTATTTTCCTGCATGGTTTCTTCAAAAGTCTTGTCTGATTTTTTCCACCCTTTCTCACTTGGTGCCTCCTCTCTCTGAGATGAGTTGTTAAGTCAAGGCACTCTCTGCCTATTCAGATGAATGTAAATAATCCCATGCCATTATCTGAAACCCTCAGTGCCCAGGCCAACAACACCATCAAAAATAAAATGCTCATTTGTTGTTTGTGGGATTTTGTGGTGTACAAAATGGCCACTGTGCATACATACAGGCATGCACACGTACCTATTCTGGCATTCAATAAGATCCTGACTGATCTGATTGTGGCCTCAACTCCACTTTCCTGCCTAGCTACCAATCTTTGACTCCCTTGTCAGCTTTGAATACTTTTAAGGCAAAGTTAGTATCCAATGCTCCCTGTGGAAGGAGGTTCCACAGACTCTGCATAAATGTACCTTGCATAACAGTAGCCTGCACTTTACAATAATCCATTAGTTATAAAACTCCTTGAGATGGCCTGAGGATATGATTAAGTACTAGATCAATGAAAATTTTATTCTTTTGATAAAGGTTAATACCTTCTTGGTCACCTAATCTAACCTCCTCTTGTTCCTTTGCTTGAAGACAGTGTCCATGGTGGCTCTGAAATAAGTTTATCTCCCACTTTGTTTTATAGTTCTCTTAATTCCTGTTTTTCAAGTCTTCCAAAGAATTAATTCAGTTGTTGATCTTGATATATGCCACTGCACTTGCCCTGTCCAGCACTGGAATCCCTTTTTCATTTAATTGCTATCTGGCTAGCAGTAATTTGTTATCCATACCAGAATTTGCTCCAAGAAAGCTCTCAAAGTTCTTAGTGCTGCTCTTACACTGCTGCCTGACTGTGTGGATCGTATTTAGTTTTTTCAGACTCCAACCTGGATTACCTAGAAGCATTTTTGTCATTGCATTTCTGAAAGCACATTTGCCATCATTAGGCCAATATTTCCCTTCTCCAGATCATTGTTGCATATTTATTTCTCAGAAACTGTTATTTTAAAGTTTTTCATTAAGGTTTCTGTGACATCCCTGGACATTCTGTTAGGCTGCTGCCTTAAGTGTCTTGCTAGCTTGGTTAAAATTGTTTGAATATCTTAATGCTCTATAATCGATGTTGGAGCAATAGAGATGCCTGATGGTAACTCTTGGGGCTAAAAATCATCTGATGGACTGCGTAGAATCTACCTGAAATGCTGCTGGTCATATTCTCACATTTGCAACAATGAGTTCGTGCTTTTCATCTTGCATAGAACGTACCATCTTAGATTATTAATTCCTGATTATAAATATCTGCATTTACTCCATCTTATATTTGCCAATCTAAGTATCTCTATTTAGTAGCTTTGATATTCATTTTTATCATAGTCAGATTACTGGTTTTAACAACAGCATCCTTGCATTTTGACATAACATTTTATTGTACTTAATTCCTGGTCCTGACTATACAATCTTGAATGATTTTAGTTGCTTGGTCTGAGTATGCCTAGAATAGGGCTCTTGATCATTTTTCAAGACATAACCAAGGTTCCCTCAGTCTTCCTCCACCACACAAACACCTGAACGTATCTGGATGCCGTATTGTCCTTTCTGGTAGGATGCTCAGTCCAAAGGCTGAACTGAAATTCTGGCACTGCTACATGTACTGCAACTTAATTTCATGCTGATAATCAAGATTCCTTCACCATAATCATAGGCCTTTGCAATGTCTGCTCATCCTCCTCTTACAAACAATATTTATTTACAACAAAAAAGATCAGCTTGATTACATAGATCCTAAATTGGCAGGTAAGATGTGTTGCAATTCATTTTACCAGACAGGCAGGCTCCTTAGAAAGCTAATTCTGTCCAAAACTCCACATCATAACATGTGCGGTCCAACTCTGGAATGGAGTTTTTCTCAATAACATCATTTTGTCTTACTACAAACTCACAGGAAAGAGTATCGTAATAAAAACACAATTTCCAAAATAGCAATAACAATAACAATACAACCACATGCTAAGGATAAGTTTACCAGTTGGGCAAGTTAGTTTGTGGGATGCCATTGTAAGATTACACTTCAGAGATTCAGGAGATTATTTTGTTTGGCAAAGAAAAGTTTCTTCATGCAATGTCTTGACTCACAGTTTGATTGTCTAATGCCAACTTTCCCAGTTTAAATTAATATTTAAACTATTGTTGTGTGGCTTAATTTGCAACGAGGATTGGCTTGCATATTTCATACATCACCTGAATTTGTCTCTTTCAAGTTGTCCCAGAAATCCTGAAATTTGGTTTCACTTGAGTAACTTGGATGCAGCCGTTTGTATTCCTTTAAACAAAAATCAACTTGCATATGCAGGATATATAAAGAATAATGCATGTCCAATCACTGTAAATGTTAGTGATAACTATCCACAAAATTCTGCAGATGCGGGAAGAAAAGCAGAAGTTGCTGGAAGCGAGACCGACAAACTAGCATTTAGATGTGTACCCTTTATCGAAACAAGCATGTCTATTAATGAATTTTGAGTTGTGGAGTGCTTCCAGAATTTTCTGCGTTTCTTGTAGTGATCACAGACTGTAATTCACCTGTTCCCCGGGAGGATCAATTTAACTCCAGTTTCCTCAAGTCTCAAATTTTATGCCTGATGGAGCTTTAAAGTTGGAGCAACTGAAAATCCACCTTGTGCTCTTGATTGACAATCAATTGCCACTGAAAGGTCAATAGAACTTAATATGGCCCTTCCGCGTGCAGGAAAAGGCCGGCAAAACAGTCTATGTTTTTCAGATTGCATCTGTTTTTCAATAAACCAGTTAGCACTTTACAGGTACAATGGGGTAAAAGGTACAGTTACACAATGTACTTTTGAGTGTTTCCTCTAAGAGGAGATTAGTACCTGGCTACTAATTTGTGTTTATGGAGAATTGAGCAGAACTTGTTCAATATGCCAGCAGAGACAGTTTCTATTTTGTTTTCCTTATTCTGCAATTTCTACTGTCGTTAGGTGATTGAGCAACTCATTCATTTCTCGTTTCCCATGTTGGACTGTTCAAGCAGTACACCACCAGGATGGTCCTCTTACAAAAACTGACTATCCATGGGAACCCCTTGCTTCTCTCCCAACCCAGGCACTGAAAAGATTCTGCCAATGAGAAACAATTGAGCCCTTATTCCACAGAGAACACTCAACTCGATAAACAAAGAAAATGGCCTCAAATAAACCCGTGAGCGGATCACAGATGAAATAGAGCAATCCAGGGTATTTGTTCTTTCTTACAAAGGTAATTTGATAAATATGTGCAATTGCTTGGCCAAATCTGAAAGTAAACACTTGAATTAGTATTAACAGACCTCTGTATAACAGACAGCTGTAGCAGATAAAGACTATTTGACTCAACCACTTCTAGACTTATCCAAACAAGTGTGCTTCTCACACACACAGAAGCTTTGTTTGCAGCAATAGGATTTTAAAAAATATTCTATATGGTATTTTTATTTTCAAATCAAATACCACTTCTCAAGGAGGTAAGTAAGTATTAGCAGGTGGGAGCCGATTAATATAAAAACAAATTCTTTTTAAGCCTATGATTCTTCAGTTTATCACCCGAATGCTTCAAGTACAGTAACAGCTGACTGAGTCTTGTTTCACCTGTATTTAGTCCTCACCCTCCCTCGCTGTTGTATATTCAGGGTTCTCCCAGTACCAGTGTGACCTGGCTCACAGTCATTTTCCCATTGTTTGACGAACATCACTGGGCCAGCCCAGAGCTGTAGCTTGATCCATAGCCACTCGATGGAGATAATAAATATTGGTGCTCATGACTCTGTTCTGAGATGTAGCTAGGGAAGGTCTGTGCCCGAGGAACCTTTGTCAAATTTAAATCATTTCCTGTCAGGGAAAAGAAAAGGTTTTGTTACAAGAGTTGATGCGACTTCAATGAGATGTTAATTCTGCTTCTTTACTGTTAAGAATAAGAACAGCAGAGCAATTTCAAATTTCCTCTCAAACCTTTGCACATTTGCAGCCTCATCCAATTCAATTCCCTCATTGTGTGTTCTATATTGTTTACCTATTTGGAGCAAGCAGCAGGATTAGATTAGCTAAAAGCTAGCATGGACAAGCTGAATGACGTCACTTTCTACAATATCTACATTTCATTTGATGTAGGGGTTTCTTGGACTCTCTCCTCTTTCTCTCACCTCTCAGCCTCTCCAAAGGAAACCTGCCTTAATTACTATTCAGAAATAACAAAGTGTAGAGCTGGATGAACACAGCAGGCCAAGCAGCATCAGAGGAGCAGGAAGGCTGATGTTTCGGGCCTAGACCCTTCTTCAGAAAATCATTTTCTGAAGAAGAGTCTAGGCCTGAAATGTCAACCTTCCTGCTCC